GTCCCAAGTCAAGTTTATAGTGCGTACCTCAATTTGGTCTATCAACGAACAAAGGCAGGTGACAACGTTTTCGTTGTCACTTATGTTCTTGTTGGTCGCTCCTAATTTGGCAAGACTGTCTGCTTCAATGTTTTGTGCTCGGGGTATCTGGTCGAGTTGGCACTCATCGAACTCGAGCAGTATATGAATTTCTGCCTGATATTTTTGTAGCCTTTTCCATTTTATTTAGAAAGTCCCTGTGACTTGGTTGATGACGAGTTGTGAGTCACATCAGAGGATGACTCACCGTGCTCCATACTTGAGAGCTAGTTTCAGTCCTGTAATTACGCCCTCATACTCGGCCTCATTATTAGTCATGTCGGGACATAATATGGACTGGCGAATGACTTTGCCTGTTGGGCCTCGAGCACGAGTCCCAGTCCAGATCCTGATGCATTGGAGGCACCATCAGTGTACATGACCCATAGGTCAGGTAACTTGGGAGAGGTAGGGGTGGATTCCTACTTGGCCTCAGGTGATATTTTGGCGGTGAAGTCAGTGATGAAGTCGGCGAGTACTTGCAACTTTATCATTGTTAGCGGCTGATATGTTATATCATGCTCGCTTAATTCGATGGCCCACTTGGCCAATTTACCCGACAACTTGGTTTTATGTAAAATGCTTCTTAGGGGTAAGGTCTTAACAACCGAGATGGGGTGGTATTGGAAATAGGGTCTCAGCTTTCGTGAAGCTACGACTAATGCCAGTGCCAATTTTTCGAGGTGGGGATACCTCGTTTCAGCATCGACCAGGGTTTTGCTAATGTAATATATTGGAGATTGCGTACCTTTGTTTTCATGGACCAAGACTGCACTTACTGCTATGTCGGACACGGCCAGGTAGATTAAGAGACATGCGCCTGGTTCTGCCTTGGCGAGTAATGGGGGTGAGGAAAAGTATGCCTTTAGTTCTCTTAGGGCATTGGAGCATTAAAAATTCCACTAGAGTCCATTATCCTTTTTGAGAACGTTGAAGAATTTGTGACATATGTCAAAGGATCGTGAGATGAACCTCGACTGGGCAGCTATACGACCGGTCAACTTCTGCACTTGTTTCTTGTTGGTCAAACTTTTAGGTATTCCCACTATAGCCTTGATTTAGTCAGGATTGACCTCGATGCCTCTTTGCGACACCAAAAAGCCGAGGAACTTTCTCGAGGCACTCCAAAAGCACACTTCTCGGGGTTCAGCTTCATGCCGTATCATCTGAGTATGTCGAAGGCTTCCCTTAGGTGGTCGATATGGTCCTCTTTTCTTTTTGATTTGACTAACATGTTGTCTATATAGACTTCCATTATTTTGTCGGGTTTCTCTTTGAACATTTTGGTGACTAGCCTTTGATAGGTCGCCTCTGCATTTTTCAACCCGAACGACATAACTCTGTAGTAGTACGTCCCTTGGTGGGTGATGAAGGCGGTTTTTCTTGGTCCTCCTCCTCCATGAGGACTTGGTTGTAGCCTGATTAGGCATCCAATAAGCTTAATAACTCGTGTCCTGCTGTTGCGTCGATGATTTGATCGATGTGAGGCAACGAGAAGGAGTCTTTCGGGCAAGCTTTGTTTAGGTCTGTGAAGTCTATGCACATGCGCCATTTATCGTTTTTCTTTTTCACCATGACTACGTTAGCGACCTATTGGGGATATTTTGACTCTCGAATGGAATCGTTGGCGAGCAACTTTTCTACCTCTTCGCGGATGGCCTTATTGATTGCAGCATTGAACTTTCTTTTGATTTATCGTACCAACGGGTAGAGTGGTTAACATTCAGCTTGTGTGTTGCAATGTCTTTCGAGATACCCGGCATATCTGCATGGGAGAAAGCAAACAGATCGGCGTTTTCAGTTAAAAATTTATGGAATTTACCCGCTTCTGTGAGTTTATGGCCGATGTAGGCATTTTTGCTGTGGTCGCTTTCGTCCAGCTGGACGGGATCGAGGTCTTCCACTGTTGACCCATGTGTCTTCCATGATGTTGGGGTCTTTGATGATGTCTATGTGTTTGTCGGACTCGGTTCACGACTTCGGTAATTGCTATGCTCCTGAGCCCTCCTCTCTTAACTGTTGAGTGTATGTGTAATCTTGGACGATGCGGTAGCATTCTTGAGCTGTTCGCTATTCACCGCAGATGCTGAATATTCCCATGGGGTAGGGAACTTGATGAACTGATACAAATTTGATGGGATGGCCCTCGTGGCGTGTATCCAGGGTCGCCTTATAATGGCGTTGTAGGTTGTGTCTTGGTTCATGACATGGAATATTGTTTCTAGGGTGACGCCCCGGACCAGAACGGGCAATGTTATCTCTCCGGAGTTTTGTTTAACTGCATTGTTAAAACCTATTAGTGTTATGCAGTGTGGTACTATCTTATCCTCGAGTCTCATTTTTGTGAGAACTCGGGGGTGGATAATACACGCGCCCCTCCCGTAGTCTACCATGATTCTTTTTACATCGGTATCTGAAATTCATAAAGTAATGACAAGAGCGTCGAAATGAGGAAAGGTCAAACCATGGGTATCTGACTTATCGAAGATGATACTGTCTTCGAGGTCATCATACCGTTCATGGGTGATCGACCGCTTCAATTTGTGTGTGGTGGTGAACTTCACATGGTTGATTGTTGCTTCATCGCCTTCACTGATGATCATTTGGATGGTGTGTGGGGGGGAGGGTGGCTTTGGGGGGCCTTGATGTGGTTCTCGTCCACGGGCAAAATTGGCTCTCCCTCGGTCGCTCATCAACTCCTTTAAATTTTCTCGGTGAAGCATGTTCACTACTTTTTATCGTAGGGATATGCAGTCCTCGGTCTTATGGCCCCGTTCCTGATGGAACTCGCATAGGGCATTTGACTTTCTAGAATTTGGGTCCGACTTCATCTTTTGTGCCATTTCACCTTGGGACCGAGCTTCTTTAGGGCATAAACTATTTCTGAAGGAGACACACAAAAGTTGTGAACAGATAATAGTGGGGGAATACCTTTTTCATTTCAGTGAGTTCCCGTTGGTGGAGGGATGCCCCTTCGGCTTGGCGGGGAGATAGTGAGATAGTCGCTCTGTTGTACCGTTGGTTCCTTTTCCGATTGAGGCGTGGGCCTGCGTGATCTCTTCGACTGTCATTCCGACGATCTTTCCTTGATTCCATTTGGACTGTCTTTAGCCGTTGGGTCGAACCATTGAGATCATCTTCATCTGCCCTCACCTCGGCATAGTTGTGAATTTCTTCCCAAGTGGTGGGAGGGTTTTTCATGAGTCTGCTTAATAATTTATTGGTCGCCCTTGACCCGTTCTTGTTTAACTTGTTTTGAAAAGTAATTACCGCCATCCCTTCTGATACATTCAGCAGGCTCATTCTTACTCTGTTGAACCAGGCGAGAAAGTCCCTGAGTCCTTCTCCAGGCGATTGTTTGACGGCGAATATGTCATTCACTCTCGCTTTTACCTTCTTGGACCCGACATGGGCGGTAACGAACATGTCATCCATTTCTTCGAACGTCATTATGGAATGTGCTGATAATTGTGAGTACCATGTTAAGGCTCCCCCAGTTAGGGTTTCACCGAACTTCTTCAGTAGCACCAACGGTACTAATAAGTAGGGATTTTGACCGCTTATTTGCTCTCTTTTACTTGCGTTTTAGCTTAAAAATGCTTAAAGGTATTCCCGGAAACTAACAAAATGTGCTTACTTGCAGGAATATTAGGAAACGAGCCAAAGAAGGCAAAATTAACTCATAAAGAAGTCAAAAGTGAATAAGAGCCAAAACTGGGCAAAAAAGCTAGCAGCGCGGACCGCACAATTCTAGTGCGACCGTAGAAAGTGATTCAGAGAAGGGGTTTTAGACAACTCAGATAGTATGGACAACACAAAAAATGTGCGGTCTCAGGAGATCAATTGCGGACGTAATCATTATTGTGCGGTCCGCAGAAGACCTCAAGTTCCAGTCCCAAGTTCCCATGTGTGCGGACCACACTAGAATTTTGCAGCCGCATAAGGCCATTTTGTGGTCCGCATCAGAATTATGCGGCCGCATAACCTCTGTAGGGACATTTTTGTCAGATATTTTTAGCTTAGTATAAATACAACTTTTTGTCATTTTTAGGTTAAGTTTAGTTTGCAGAGGTGCACCTGAACATTTTTTTTTTACTTCTTTGAGTACATTTGTATTAGATTGACTTCTCAACATTAGTTTTTCTTTGTTTAATCTATGATTATGCATTCTACCTTAATTTCTTCTTGTACTTCTTTATTTTTCATGAGTAGATAAATCTTTAGTTAGGGTTGTGGCTCAACCCTAGTGTGGATACTTAATGGATATTTAATTTTAGGGCTTGTTTGTGATTGAGTTAGTGATATCTAGGCTTGTTTATGCTTAAATTCACTACTGAAAAATTGGTCTATGGTAACAGTTGAAAAACCATTTCCACAGACTGCCAAACCGTTGCCATAGGGATATTGAAACGGTTTAAAGCCCGTCACATTAGCCGGCGTACCCATAGGTCTATTGGAACGATTCTTGCAACGATTTGCATCGTCGTGACAGTAGATACGTCTATCGCAACGGTTTTCCCTTTCTCTATTAGAGCGGTTATTTTTTTCAATTGGAACGGTTTTAAACTGTTACTATATTGTTTATACAACGGTTTTTAACCGTTACCATATTATTTAAAGCAAGACTTATGTAAGCTATTGCTACGGTTATGTTGGATATAGCCACGGTTTCTTTAGGCTATCGTAACAGTTATATTTGTATTTAGAACGGTTTGTAGATTATTTTGGAATAGTTTATGGGACCTATTGCAATGGTTTATATTGTCTACTGGAACGCCATTTGTGTCCTATTGCAACGGTTCTGGTAGTCTATTGTATCAGTTCAGTTAAAACCAAAATATAGCACCTATTATAAATAAATATTTATACATATAATAAATTATAATAACACTAAAATTTAAATACATCATAAAATGAAACTATTAATAATACAAAATTATCCATCAAACAAATAATATCCATAAAGCAAATGTTCTACCCCATGAGTGCATAAGTTTAGTACATTTCAATAGAGTAAATAAGTTCAAAAATGTTGGTAACAAAAGATTCCTAGAATATTCATCTATAACAATTCAAAATTCATTTCAAGTAAGGTCTAGTTCTTCATCGTCTTCATCGTCCATTTCTTGATCTACTCCACCTACAAAAGAGGATAAATAAAGTTATTACCCTTCAAGAGCTTATAATTAATTGTATGTGCAGGTCAATATTTAATACTTTAAGTAGAATAATTTTGATGGATCTCATCCATTTCTTGAGTTCTCAATGTGATTTTATTTTAGGAGTTTGGGTTCAATTCTCCAGATGATAAGAACTTGTTTAAAAACAATAAAGTGTACCATGAGACTAGCTACAGCTACAATTCTTGTACAAGCAAAGTATCGAAAAGTTTAGAGTGTTGTCAACATTCAAAGGCAGCAAAAAGTTTAGTTCGTGCAGCTCGCAGATCTGATGAAAGTAAATACATATACAGAAAGCATATCCATAATAAGTTCTAAGGCTCAAGTTATTATTGGTGAATGCCTAGTAGCAAGCCAACATCCCCACTCTCAACTTCCAATATTATGTAGAAAACAATCTGGATGTAGAACAAGTTTCTGGTCAGCATTCATTTTGTTTGTATGGTGGAAGATTTGCTGGCAAGAGTTAGAAAGCACAATAATAACTGCACCTCAGTCGCAAACAAGAGTTAGAAAGTGCTCATATTATTTGAATTCCTCAGTCGCAAACAAGAGTTAGAAAGTGCTCATATTATTTGAATTCCGTTGTTCTTTTTTTGTTTCAATCCTTAGTATTATTTAATTATGGTTATGTGACAAATGTGTATATGTGCAGGACACTTGTATTTATTCATTTGATGCAAATATGGTCGATTGGTACGAGTTCTTTGCATTTTATGCTAAAAGCTCTGCTAATAGGTGAAGTAAGAGAGAATGGATACAATATGCAATGCTAGTTACACCATGCCAGAGTAGTTTTTCACAAAATTATTTTGCTTAAAGTAATAAATATTGCCCTGCACATACAATTAAAGTATTAAATATTGTTCTAGAACGCCAACTCCATTATGATCTACCTGTAGGATTAAGGAGTGGTTTTTCAACCTATTCTTTCTTTCCAGGTCCCTTCTGCATTATTGTTTAGTCAAATTAATCAACTAACCACGAAGGCTAATAAAAAAGCATGAAGGTTTTATATACAAAGAAACGAAAATCGATCTATTAGTAATATATTCCAATTTTAAATTCTCAAAGTTCAATTATCATAGATCTGCCAGTATTACTCAGGTATTATTACTATACATAGGAGACCACTTGGCACTTAAGAAATCATATACTCCTACAAAATAGAAAAAAGGATATTACCACATCCACTTTGCCTTGAACCAAAGCAAAATCCCAAGCAAGGAAGGAGGAGAAGAAGAAATAGAAGAAGATGTATAACATTTGGTACGTACTGACCTTGATTGTTACTACCAGCAGATGGTCGATTGTTTAGTTGAACAACAGTTTGTTGTACAGAGGAAGCATCTATAGGTGAACATGCACTGAACCTTAACATGTCAGGATCAAGTCGTAAATCTGGGTTCAGACGCTGAAGTTGTGCAATAACGTTCATTATAATATTTTGTTCCATAGCATCATTTTGTTCGTTCAACTTTTCATGCATTATTTGTTGCATCCTCTATTTCATTTCCTCTATTTTCTGCTGCATCCTCTCATCAACATCTAAAGAAGATCCAGGATTCCCTTTTTTTCCCTTTTAACAAAGTCTTGGTAACCCCTTGTCCATACAATCTCACGCGACCTGGATGTTCAGGTCCCATGACTGAAGCAAAATCGTCAACTAAATGACTTCCATCTTCACTTTCCTGAGTTTGAGTGATGTCAAGCTCCATTTAGGAACAAGTCTTCTATGATATGAGATCATGTCATGGATCATCTTTTATTCTTGATTTTGAGCTTGTATACAGCTAGTTCGATTTTATATTTCAAAATACTTTAGGGTTTACACAAGCTGACTAGTAGTAGTACTAATTTACTATAGAAATATTTCAAACATAACATGGCAGGGCAGAAGATTGGAAAAAAGCAAATGGTCAGAATTGCTACAACGAAATAGAACCAATTTCTAATGCAGAGAGTATTGGGGATCAAAATCAGATTAAGAGATGATGAAATTGGTGGAAGTGGCCATTCAGAAATTGAAAGAGAAGAGTGGTCTAAAAGTAGATTGTATACATTGGTGCCTTCTGGAGTTCCTGAACAAGACTAATTACACTTAATGTGAATCTGGCCAGAGAAGTAAGCTCAGCAGACAATAGCACATGCAAAGGTAAGTACACTACAAATGAAACCAATAATAGACTATAGAGAACAAGCACACAGAGAACGTGCAAACAGAAAACCAAAACACTTCAGCAGTGGCAAACAGATTTACCAAAGCCTAGGAGAGTAACATCGTCCCAAACCATCTTTCTTCTCTTGGGATAATACAATATGTATTCCAACCAAAGTATGTGGTATTAATCACAAAACCACAGAAAGTCAAAAAGCACAGGTATACACCAACAACTGCTAATAGCAAGTAGAAGTTGATACAAAATAGGTAACAAAACACATAACAAAATTTATCTATCGAATAGTAAAAACATGCAATAGGTCACAACTTATACTAGAAGGCAACAACTTTATATGTATTATGCCCATCCCTAGTTACAAAAATACTAAAACTATAGAATTAGTTTATTCTTGAAAGAATTGAGACCTTCATGTTCGGTACTATTTTACTTCTTATTCTTTTAACTCAGGCACCAAAAAACAATTATGTTAAAACAAGACAATAGATTCTGGATGTAATTACCTTGTGAGGATCAGAGTTCCAATATTTAAGAAGATCCTTAAAGTGAGATTCCAGAATATCTACTGGCCTATTATCCATTCGAAGCTCATCATTATCATAGGTTGTGAAGTGAGTTATCTTCAATTGACTCTTATACTTTCTCCAAGCACTACAAACTGATTCAAAAACCCATTGTTTTGCCTCGTCAGGAATGTCATATTTTTCTTACAAATTTAGTGCAATTAGGTTAATGTAAGAAATAAGAAATATCATACATGTTTATTGGACATTGGGAACTTCATACCTTGATATATTTCCATATATCATCTTTTGTATCAAGTTTCCTCCACTTAAATACATTAAGAGGACAAAAATTCCCACTCCTTGCCAATGTGCCGAGGAAGCTACCTAACTCTTTTACAACCTTTTTAGTAGGACCAACGGGTTGATTATACTCATTTAGAATGATTATTTTACGCTCCTTTCTACCATGAACCCTTGGCATTTGAGTAGGAACTCTTTTTCTTTTTGGCGAGGAGGGGCCTGCAATAGTACAAAACAAGCATAATCATTAATCACTATTTTTAGTTAAGTTTATGATTAAACTTTATATATATTTTCCTTGTTCCTCAAATTGTTCAACTGCTTCATGAGTGGTAGAATCATCATATCATTCATGTACTCCCTGTGATGCGGGAGTGATGGAATCCATATTCCCCTGTTGCGCTTGTTCATGTACTCCTTGTATTGCTGAAGAAGTGCAATTCCGTGGCACTTGTTGCTCTTGTTCTTGCAATTGAGATCCATCTTCGGATTGTCTTTATTCATTTACATTTGACCTTAGAGCTTTCAAGTTTGTTTTTGTTATCAACGCCGAAACCTTTTGGTTTCGCAAAGATGAAGGTAATGCACCTTCTGATTGTCGTTCTTCATTTGCATTTGACCTTGTAGCTTGGAAGGTTCTTTTTGTTGTCAACGACAAAACCCTTTGATTTCGCAAAGATGCAAGTGATATAGCTAGAATGCGGTTGGATATTTTCTTATTTTTGCTTGAGCACCCTTCTTGATTCATGACTATTCAAATATTTTTCAGATTCTGAAAAGCAAACACAATATAGGTTAGCAAAAGCAGCAAATATAGTATATCAATTCTAAAATATACTGGTCCGTTAGAACATGTAACTTGGAGCACTTGAACTAAAAAAGAAAAACTTCTAATTTTGCAGGTTTCACTATCAATTCAAGAAACATTATTCTCAAGAATTTCAGGAGAGCAAAGTTGCAAGTACAATGCTCATTGGATAGCTTGAATAAATAACTCCATATGAATTATCTTGATATTTAAGCATAATATTCTAATATAATGACATGATTTTAAAACTTGAATGGGGATCACACCTATACAAGTCTAGTTCTTGACCATGTTTACTGATTTTCTTGCTCAATTAAACTATTTCTAAAGACATTTATCAAGAGAGTTGTTGTTCCAAAAAGTTCTTCACAACCCATTGTAAGCTGTCCCATCTAACTAAAATCTGCCCGAAGAATGTATATTTTAGGTGAATGAAACAGATAGATCTAATCATACGACCTTAACTTCAAGCACAAAGATTCAACAGTACTGTAAGCTTCAATTACAACTTTCCATTCAAGAATTGCCCAGAAATTTGAGCTGCCAAAAGACGAGGCTAAAATTTCGAATGAATTTCTAACAGTTAAACTTGCAAAACAGAAGTTTACTGTCCAATCTTGGGGTTTGGCTGACACATCTTTGGAGGATGTCTTCATTAAGGTGGCAACTGAGGCACAATAATTTTCTACTTATGTTGCTTTGTACAAGAAAATTGTGATACTATAGGTCATAGTGTCCTACATTTTGCTGATGTTACATGTAATTTTCAAGTATTCCTATGAATTCATCAAAATAGAAAAATCTCAGTTTAATGTATTAAGATTAACGGGCTTATTTTGTTTAGAAACCAAAGGTAGTGTGTTTTCAAATACCAATTACTCTATTTTATTTTCGAGTTTAGGCAACATATTATTTGATTTTGTAAAACATAACCAAATCCAGAAAATGGGGCTTTTCTTTAAATAAATGGCAATGTTGCTCCCCCTTTATCCATTTTGTTTAAATTTTCCCTAATATTAATCCTTTTTTATAAACCAAATTTTCCAAAGCTAAATCCGAATACTTGGTTTTAAAAAAATAAAAGAACAAAAAACTAGTAGTTAACCATGTCAAAATTAGTCCTAAATCAACACTGAATTTCAATCCAAAGAAATGAAATAAGATACTTTTTAGTGTTTCTGAGATCAAATGCAGATTTGACCTGAAGTGAAATCATATACACTGCTCACACCATAAAGATTAAAGAAAAAGAAGAACGACTATAAAATATAATGCCCAAAATACAAAGGAAAAATTACCTGAAGTTGATTGCCTTTTGGGTCGAAACTTTCTCCCGATTTAAAATATTTTCTACACTGTAATCGCTACCTTCAAAATTATTCCTCTGTTCTTCAGATCCTTCGAGTGAAACAAATGGAGTTTGGGACTTTGGGGATTTGGTAGTTTTGGGTTAGCAATCAAGATTTGGGGATTTTTGGTTAACAAATAGATTCGAGGATTTGGGAATTTAGGACATGGGTTTGATAAACTTAAATGCGGTTGAGATGAAAGTAAATCACCAACAACAATGAGATTTGAGGAATGTTTGCCGGTGATTTGCGAACGCGGGATTTGGGACGGTGATTTGAGGTTTGCTGGTGATTTAATTTGAAGAAGGTGAGAATTTAGGTGAGAATGGAATAGACCTCTTGAGGAAGTTGAGAATTCTGGTGATTTGGAATGTTAATTTGCAGCCGGTGAGTTTGAGGAAGGTGATTTGGGAACGATGAGAGCATAGGAAGTGTCGAAGCAACTTTAATTTAGTTATTATATTTATTAAAATAAAATATATAATAAATAAAAGAAAAATGGGTTATATTGACGGGTTTAGCAAAATTCAGGGGGGGGGGGGCAATAATGCTGCCACAAATCCTGGTACATATTAGCAGTGCCCGAATAAATAGAGTACTGGNTTACTACAAATAGGCCTATTGGGACGGTTGACATAATCGTTCCTATAAAAAAGACCTATGGTAACAGTGAACTGTCAACTGGAACAATTTAGTATCTAAAGTGTGCTGGTTTCATCCAAATTCTATTGTAACGGTTGTAACCGTTACCGTATCTAATCTATTGCAACGGTTTAGTAACCGTTGCCAGAAAACTGTTCCCGCAGGCCTATTTTCAAGTAGTGATTCTAGAATTAATGGTTGCAAACATTGATTCATGCCTTTTTGACCTAGTCTTTTCTTGAGAAAGAGAGACTAGGTTTAGGAAAACTTGGCTAGCAAGGAATTGGGGTAAATTCAAGAAATTGATAGCCCCAATTAAAGGGTCAAATTTAGGATAGAAAGACCCGACTTGAACATATATTACTTGATTTGTGCAAATACCCATTTGGGCTTGAGAAAGCCAAATCGTGCAAAATCACTCAAACTACCGAGAGGTATAAAGTGAGCAATTGCGTGTGCTTGCTATACCACAAACCCGATAAATCAAACGTGCCCTATAGTTTACAATCCATTAGGTAGCCACCTAGGTGAAAGTCACGACCCTAGATTCCTTTATCATTTGAAAAATACTCAAAACCAAAAACACTGTCTTCTAGTAATTATTCGCAATCCTTAGCTAAAAGTAGAAATAGAAAACAACCAATGAATATGTTGAAGTCCAATCTAAGACACGTCATACAGTAGCTCTAGTTATATACCTAATCCAAATTCTAACTCACTATGGATTCGATCCCGACTCGTGTTTGGTTTATAGTTTCTTCGACCGCCTCACTACCTATTTGTGGTGTGAGTTTGGGTGAGATCAATTTTTGGCTCCATTGCCGGGGAGTTAAATGGATTTAGCTATATATCTAGGTTTTTGTGTGTTTTGTCTTTCTTTCCTTCTGAGTTACTAATTTGTGTTTGAATTGATTTTAGGTACGAAAATGGCTCTCAACAACGATCCCATTAGAAATGTGCCATTGGGGGAGGACGTGGATGATGATGCAATGGATGAGGTCCCTATTGAAGCTCATGCTAATAGACGAGGCCGCCTGCCTCACGATAATGTTCTCGTCCCTCCCCCACCTCAACCAAGAGTGGAAACACACCGACAATTTCCAAACGAGGGTGATACAAGTGCTATAGTCCCGCCCCGCATTAGGGCAGGCAACTTTCAAATCACCAATGTGATGCTTACACTACTTGAACAATGGGGTTTCTTCACTGGGGCTTTGAATCAGAATGCCTACAAGCATCTCAAAGGTTTCGCGATACTTGTTGGGGGAGCAAGCAAACAAATGTTTCTGAGGACACGCTGAGGTTAAGGCTATTTCCCTTTTCTCTACGGGGAAAAGCATTGGAATGGTTAGAGAGGTTTCCCAACCATTCCATCACCACTTGGGATGAGTTGGCAGAAAAGTTCATTTCCAAATTCTTCTCTCCGGGACATATGGAAACGCTTTGGGATGAGATTCTCTCCTTCAATCAAGAACCCAATGAGCCATTGCATGATATTTGGGAAAGATATCGTACCATGGTTAAAGAGTGTCCGAACAATGATATGACCGAGGCCATAATCCAAAAGACCTTCTACATGGGGATCAACACAACTAATCACTGTGTGGTTAACCAACTCGCCAGGGATAACTTCATGAACACGCCATATGCCAAAGCTTGTGAAATTCTTGATGAGATGGCAGATACCTCTTTGTCATGGAAAAGTAGAGCCACTGTGCCACAAGGTGACCCTAATGTTATTCACCTACACAAGGAGATACATGACCACAAGCAAGCTATAGCCGAGTTGACAACTACCATGAACCAATTGGCCAAGGCACATCTTCAACAAGTTCAAGGGCCGAAACAAGTGCATGCAATGGAAGGTGTGAATATAATGGTGAACAAAAGATGGCAACAAGGTCAACAAATGCAAAACCGTCTGGAACAATTTATGCAAGATGATAGTGGTTCTGATCAAGGTGATTCATTCAATGATCAAGATGAATAAGTTCAATATGTCAATAATTATCAAGGTCAAAGAAGCTCAAGGGAAAAATCCACAACAATGGAGGTCACAAGGGAACCAAGGTAATTGGAACAACCAAAACCACAAGACAATTGGAGTGGTGGTAATTCTAATCAAAGCAATTGGAACAATCAAGGAAATTGGGGTAACAACAACTGGGTAGGCAATAATCAAGGAGGGTGGAACAACAATAACAACCAGGGATCGGATTTTCAAAGGCCTCCAATGTTCCAACAACCAAGCAATCCACCTCCCTATCCTTCTCAAGGCATGAGCTCTTCTTCCAATGAAATGGGTAGAATTGAAAACATGTTTAAATAGATGATGGAGAAGAATGCCGACTCCGATGCTCAAATAGCCTCGCACAACACTTCTATTCAGAATTTAGAGGTTCAATTAGGCCAAATCTCACAAGCTTTGAAAACTCGTCCTAAGGGGGGTAATACCTAGTGATACGGTGGTAAACCCGAAGGGTGGGAATAATATGGGACATGCCATGGCCGTAACGACAAGAAGTGGAAAAGGTGGAGATGCAACCACCTCAAATCAAAGAAGGATTGTGGATGAAGATGTTGTAGTTCAAGAGGATGAAATCCCAAGCAATGTGGTGCAAGCTAATGAAGAAGTGAGAATTGATATAGATGAAAGTGTGGAGGAGACGCAAGAAGAGGTGAACTCGTCTAGGGAACACGTGATTGACATGCCAGAACCGGTGGTGCCCAAGGCTAAGGCACCAACGGCAAGGCCTCCTCTTCCATACCCTCAAAGGCTTGCAAAGCAAAACAGTGAGAACCATTTCAAAAATTTTATCGATATGATGAAGATTTTGTCAATTAATGTGCCGTTGGTTGAGGAATTGGAACAAATGCCGGGATATTCAAAATTCATGAAGAATTTGGTAACCAAGAAAAGATCGATGAATTGTGAAACCATCAAGATGACTCACCAAGTGAGTGCTATTGTGTACTCAATGGCTCCAAAGTTGGAAGATCCGGGCGCTTTCACCATCCTATGCACTATTGGGAGCGCCGATTTTGCCAAAGCATTATTTGATCTCGGGGCAAGTATCAGTTTGATTCCCTGCTCGGTGTTCAAAACTTTGGGATTGGGCAACCAAGACCTACATTCATGAGGTTACAAATGGCATACTGGACAATGAAGAGGCCTTTGGGTATCATTGATGATATTTTGGTTAGAGTTGATAAGTCCCAGCGGACTTCGTTATCCTTGATTGTGAAGTGGACTATGAGGTGCCTATCATTTTTGGTATACCTTTCCTTGCTACGGGGAAGACTCTTGTTGATGCGGAAGCCGGTGAACTCACTTTTCGGGTGGGTGACAAAAGGGTGGTTTTCCATGTGTGCAAATCAATGAGGCAACCGAATAGTAATGAAGTTTTTTCATTTGTGGATTTGGTGACTGACGTGATAGTTGATGATGATAGTGCAACAATGAATGTTGAGGATAAATTGGAAGCCGTTTTGCTCAACCTAGATGATGATAAAGAGAGTGATGGCTATATGGAATGTGTAAATGCATTGCAAGGCATGGGGTCGTACACTTATGAGCCCCGAAAACTATCTTTGGATCTTGAAAATCGGAAGAGTCCTCCAACAAAGCCCTCAATCAAGGAGCCTCCTACCTTAGAGCTAAAGCCATTACCCTCGCACCTCAGGTATGAATTCCTTGGTCCTCCTTCTACTTTACCAGTTATCCTTTCTTCGTACTGAACTAACGTGCATGTAGAGTCAACTTTGGAGGTGCTACAAAGGAGGAAAAGAGCAATCAGTTAGACTTTGGTGGATATCCGGGGCATAAGCCCCCCTTTTTGCATGCACAAGATTATTTTGGAGGAGGGTGCCAAACCTTCCATTGAACATCAAAGAAGGTCGAATGAAGCAATGCAAAAGGTGGTGAAGAAGGAGATAATCAAGTGGTTAGATGTCGGGGTTGTGTACCCCATTTCTGATAGCTCGTTGACCTCTCTAATGCAATGTGTCCCAAAGAAAGGGGGCATAACTGTGGTGACAAATGAAAAGAATGAATTGATCCCAACAAGAACCGTTACCGGGTGGAGAGTGTGCATGGACTATAGGAAGCTCAACAAAGCTACACGGAAAGATCATTTCCCGCTTCCATTTCTTGACCAAATGCTTGATAGGTTGGCCGGGTGTGCTTTTTGTTGCTTTCTAGTTGGATACTCCGGTTATAACCGGATCCTTATTGCTCCTGAGGACCAAGAGAAGACCACTTTCACTTGTCCCCATGGTACTTTCGCATTCTTGTGGATGCTTTTTGGGTTGTGTAATGCACCGATGACTTTTCAACGGTATATGATGGTTGTTTTCACCGACATGGTAGGGGACATTCTTGAGGTCTTTATGGATGATTTTTCTATGGTTGGGAACTCATTTGAAGAGTGTTTAAACAATTTGGATAGGGTATTGGCTAGATGTGAGGAGACCAATTTGGTGTTGAACTGGAAAAAGTGTCACTTCATGGTCGAGGAAGGCATTGTCATCGGCCACAAAATTTCAAAACATGGTATTGAGGTTGACCAAGCTAAGATTGAGGTGATCTCCAAACTCCCTCCTCCTACATCCGTGAAGGGAGTGAGGAGCTTCTTGGGTCATGCGGGTTTTTATTGCCGATTCATCAAGGACTTTTCCAAGGTGGTAAACCCTTTGTGTAAACTTTTGGAGAAGGATACCAAGTTCTATTTCACTGAAGATTGCATGAAGGCATTCGAGTTGCTTAAGTTCAAGTTGACTACTACTTCTATTATCACTACACTGAAT